AATCCGTGCGGAGGAAGTACAGCATTGGCCGTCGCTACTACGGAGAGCTCCTGAAAAGCCTCAGAGAGCACCCTATTTAGGGGAAGAGGGACCAGGAGAGTTACCATCAGAGTGAATTATAAACTCAAGAACTTTTAAGGACCTTCCTCCCCTGATTTTTTAACCTTCAATGCGATAGGGTTTCTTCACCAAACAACAACAGGATGAGTTAAGGCTCCTTAGATAACAATGTCCAAATTAGGCAGTAGTGGATATTAGAAAACTTACTACTACTACTCAGCTTTTCGCCAATCGTTTTCCTCGTCTCTCGACTGTAAGTATTCTGTTTTCAGAAATTCCCTTTGAAACTAATGCTGATTTTCACATCATAACAGATGATTGATTCATTTGAATCTTAATTAGTCTGTAGTTTAGTTGCTGAAAGATATGAAGTCGTACTTCAACCGTGATTTGTCTGTGTTCATTACCGTGCAACTTTTTAAAGGGCCCAATCCTGTAACCACCAAGGCAGCTTCCAACTTCCTCCCAGTGGCCTCAGACACTTATTAAGCAATCAACAAGGAAACACACAGAAGGTAGTAGTAGAGAAATAAGTGCTGCCGAGAGCCTTACCTGCTTGTTTTCTTCTTGTTCAACTCACTGAATATTGTCTAGTCTGAAGTTTAGGAAAGAAAAGAAGAAAGCAAGGAAGGAAGAAACAGTGTCAGGACTTGAAAATCTAGTCCAATGCAATTTCTTAATTAAGATCAACTTGTTTTGAGCGTCTAAAAATGAACACTCTAAACTCATTCATCTTCAGTGCAGCAGATTGATGTTGGAACAGATCAGAGATATTTAGAATAGGAAGGGATGGCCTAGCATTCATAGTTAGAGAGAAGGAAGTACCAGTATGCAACAGTGTGATTTTAACTAATAACAGCTGTGACTTTTTTCTCTGGCACCTGTAGTGTTTATTTCAGCCAAGCTGCAGTACAACAAACCACATGGCCATAAAGAGTAGGTCAGGTGCTACTGTAAGATGCGCTTTCTCAAATGCCGTAACAGAACAGGACTTAGTTGACAGGTCAAGTCAAATCCTTAGCAAGAATTCAATGTGACAACATGTAAATATAGATTTGGCATGGAAGAACAATCGAAACACCTTTGATATGCAGACTATCCTGGGATATGTATTTGCTGGTTCCTGCAAAAGGTATAGGGATTGTCGATTTAAATGTGGTGATATAAGGAGTATTACACATTTGTAGATGTCCCAGCAGGTGGCAGCTAACTAGAAAAAGATTCATTTTCACTGGGAGAATAGGAAACTAAAATTGCTTCTCAAGTAATAGTGCCCAAGAATAAGAGGTCATTAGTGTCAGCAAATATAAATACAGCAAAGAATGAAGCTAATGGACTTTTTTTTTGCTGTTGTTGTTGGAACAAGCTTTACATGAACATGATGTGAATTTTTCTCCGTGTTAATTTATCATAAACTTTGTATTCCTTCATGTTTGTCTCCTGTGGTATTTTTGAGGCTTACTTTAGACACAACAATGCTGTGCATGCATATGTGTGTGTGTGAGTGTGTGTGCAGTTTGTCATTTCTGCTTTGACCTTGGAACCTACAGAGCTTTGGCTTCTAGAAATAAAGGTTGCCATATGGTTAAAGTGGGGGGAAAAAGCAAATGAGATCATGGAATAAGGTGTATGCGTTTCTTGATTACTAATTATAAATGACCTCCTGAGCCCAACAGCAGCTTTTTTTCTCTAATAAAGGAGAAAATATGGAATTGGCACCATTTCCAAAAGAGTTCAATCTGATCAGTGAAATAATGCATAATTAATGAATTCTAGATGAAGAACTATGATGGTACTATTGTTATTGGGAAGAAATTTATAACAACGTCAAAATTGCCTTACTATAAGGTATTTCCTACGCCAGTAAATCATTCTTTATTATTGGGGATGTAGTTTAGGTGTTCTGTCCTGAGGGATGGGTGAAGTTAAGGAGAAAGATGAGGAATTAATCTGAACACCCTTGTAACAGATAGAAATCTGAAGGTGAAGGATTTGGAGGCAAATAACTAATTGTACATTTTAGAAATGTCTGTAGCCACTCATTATTGACAAGATGCCATTCAGTGTTCTGAATCCTTGGTGGTCTTTCAGGCAATACATTGTACAAAGAAACAAATAGCTTAGTGCTCATGAGAGAGCTCGTCGTTAATGTAGTTAATATAAATGACTGATAGTAGTCATGCCCCCTGTGAAGGGATGAGTGTTAGTAAATTCTAGGTGTGCCTAGGAATCCTAGGGAGTCATGCTGAAAAAGACACACAACACAATTGACACACTAGTTTTCTGGACAATGTGAACAATGCAGTAATTCACAGTCTGCCTCTCATGTAGGAGAGATATTCTTGTTGTCATTTCAAATGGCATATTACCCATCCAGTATTCAGACATTCTCAGGATTGTGAACGAGATACAAGATATGTTCCTAAATGTGTCTTTTGGTCAAATTTGTAGGTAAATTCGAATCGATGCAAGAAAAGGCTCCGAGTGTTTTCAATAATTAAAAAGGCTGCATGTGCAGCAAGTGGAGGTGATTGCGAGGAAACGTTTGCTGCACGTAGGGGGTCGGTTCCGTGTTTTTAAGTGAGGGTAAATTTATATAGCATGGAAGGGCACATGCCCTGAAGTCTAGTATTCTTAACCTGGGGACTGGCTTATTGTACTACTTGCTTTCAAAGTACTATTCCAGAATAAATCAATGCCTGGAGCGCTGTCCGTGGTTCTTAAAGGTCCTCTCCTTTCTTGCTGAAGTTCAGTTGGACAGGTGCAGGTCCTATCTATGGTGCTGAAGCCTTTCAGCTTAGTTGATGGATGCAAATGAGCCTAATTTCGCATTTTTGCAAAATTGGTTCTTTGGGGACCAATTAATAGTAAGAAAATGTGTGCAAGACCTTTACTGTTTAATTTACTGTGTAAGAATTTCATGGATCTGGAAGCTTGATCTTTCACTTTTCTCACTAGATAGCCAATAAATGACCCCACAAAAATTTAATCACTCAGAATGGTAGTTTTAAGTAGAAAAGTTTTATCTCTAACGTCAAATACCATTATGATTAAAAGAATATGTGAACAAGAAGTTTTTTTCCCCCCCTCAGCTTCCACTGAATGCCAGCTACACTGCAAAATTGCAGTATTTTGATTAGTCACAATAGAACATGCTATTTTCAGGCAGTAGATACCAATTATATTGGCAGATAGAAAAACTAAGAATACTTATTGTCACCCTAGTGGTCATTGTTATCTCTGCTAGGATCAAAAATAAAATGAACAAATAGATCGGAATAAATGAAACCGCATATACAAGACTGAACATGTTGAGCTGAACATGTTTTACAAAAGATATTTTAAACATGGACTGAAGGAGTCGCTAGATCCCCTTAGTTTTAGCACTAGGTGTTCCTTTTAAAGTGCTCCACTAGTCAAATTATTTGATTGAATTGCCTGCTAGACTGCAGAACTAGCCATTCATGATACTTATTTTTGACACTGCAGTTATGCCTCCATCTTAAAAAAAATCAATGCCACTTAATATATTTGCAAAATGTAGGTTTCTTTTGAAATCAGCATTTTCTTATATCAAAAAATAAGGATTGAAAATTCACTGTGATGGTGTAAAAACAATATAGTATTTTTTTTGTTATCTAGGGGAAATATGACAAGACTCAAATAGTTCTCATATCACACCTTGTTTTAAAAATTAGATATTTTTAAAAATTAGAATATTTTTCAAAGACCATATGATCTTATCTGTTTTCTCCTCAAAAGGTTTAATCTCAGAGGAAGTCATTCAAATATTAGGAAGTTAATTTTAAAAAATAATTGTAAGATCTAGCAGTTTGTTGTTTGTACTGCTGAATTATTTGACATTATTAGCAGTGACAGCACTTGTCCTATCTGTGTTAGTCTTTGCTCCCTAATGTGCAGTATTAACAGTGAGCATGAACGATTCTATTTACCTGAGGACAGCATATACTTTCATAAGGAAAAAGTATTTTATGTGAGAAGAGAACATATGGTTATGCTTTCTCTTGAATAAATTGCTCATGGTAAAAGCCAAGTCAATCACTACCTGAGGACTCTCCACTAAACATTACCATCAGAAAGCCAGCAAGCAATCGAGTATTTTTTCCAGACAAAGCTAGGACAACCAGTGTTGCCAAGCCATGATTTCATATTCTACTTCTGAATGAAAAAAGTTTTGAAAAATGAGAAGAAATCCAGACATAAATTACGGAGGCTTTTGGAGTATGCTGCACCAAATCCAGTATCATTGTCTTTTACATATGCATACTTATTTTAAGTGAGCTAAAAGGTGGGTTGGGGAGTATTAATTTATTTTCATTCCATTCTCCCCCACCCCACCCCACCCCAAAGTCCACTGGATGAAATTTCTCTTTCCTCCTTGGTAGTAATCAAGGAATGTCTTACTCAAGTTTTAAAAGACTACACTCATCTTCCTAATATAGATTTCATTGTAGTCCATATTCACACCCGGCTTAATAAAAGTATAAACAAAACCCTTTTCTGGCAAAGACAAGATGGATTGTTGAACACATTCCTTCATCTGAGACCACTTCCTTGTTTACAACTCCTTGGCAAAGTGATTTCCACCTAACTAGTCACCTATGAAAATTCATCAGTGTATTGTAAGAAGTCTGCTTACACACAGCAGTCACTCTGAGCAAGGACTCTTGGAAAATAAAAGCATCTTTCTAGTACGTAAATACGTCCTACTCTTTCTTGTAACCCAAGGCGGGAGATCAGTTCAGTGTGGTTGCATAATAGATGTTGGGAAGCTCTCACTGGCAGGGAGCCTTAAGAGGCGAGTAGCTATCTCAATTTTTCTCACTTAATCTTGGCTTCACGTCAGAAGCTGTGCAGCAGTGCAGTGGAACAGGGCCTGGCAAAACCTTTCCGAGCAAAGCGCCTTTTGTACTGGGACTGGGGCTGGCTGTGGCCACCTCGGCGGTGTCCAGGGCTGGCTTCTCTGTTGATCTCCCCCTCCCTTGCTTCCGTAGGCTCACGGCGCGGCCGGACATTGTGGGTGTGCGCGGTGGATTTCTCCCGGATGCTCCCCGACTAACATGGACGTCCCACCATCCCTTGCAGTGCAAGGTGGCTCCTTGGCGCAGTGAGTGGAGAACATGCAGCGATTGCTAATGGGTTCGGGGAACGGAGACTCCTTCCGCCCTCAGTGACCATGCCGTGATCGTGTCGGCGGCCACCACTCGACACATCCTCATTCCTGCCCGACCGGGGAGCCGAACGCTAGAGCGGGGAAGTGGGTGCCGCGCGCGTGGGCACAGAAACACCATGAAGATTACTGCCCCGATCCTAAGTCACCCAGTCTCCAGGCGCACCCTTAAACTCCTGCTCTGCTTACTGTGGATTGGATATTCCCAAGGCACCACGCATGTGTTGAGATTTGGTAAGCCTTCCCTGTCCCTTTCCGTCGCCTGCAAGGTGGCTCGGTCGCTGGCAGCCGGATGTAAACAGGCGGCTGCGCTCTGCCTGGCGGCGGGTTCCGAGCGTGCCCAGCTGCCGGTGGACCCCGCGCCTCTCAGGACCCCCCTGCTTTCCCTTTATTTTCTTCCTCTTCCCGGGCCGCGTGGCCGCCGGGGAGGAGAGCGGGGTCTGTGGGCGGTGTGAGCGCGGCGCGACTTCCCCGCCGCCGTCGCCGCTGACTGCCGCCGCCGCTCTCCCCGGGAAGCCCTCGGCTCGGCGCGGTGCGTCCCGCGGGCCCAGGAGTTCCCCGCTGGTCACTCTTTGGAGAGTGTCTGATGTCCGCTCCCGCCAGGGACCTGGGCCGGTCCACGTGTAAGAGAAAGGCGCTAACCTTCACCTTTCTGGTATTGGAGAGCTCCCCCACCCCACCCCCGGAATCTCTTCTTTCTCAGTCCCTAGTGCCTTCCCTAGAAAAGAGCTTTTTAAACATGTTATTGTAACACGGAGAGGCTGCCGTCCGGTCCGAGGAAAATAGCTTAATACTAACACAGCTGGCTGTGTGTTCACCTGTTTTGTTTTCAACTTGCTGAGTCTATCTCAGTCTTCTCACTTTGAGTCCCAGGCTAATGAATGATTCACAGTGGGAGTGCGGGTGCGAGGAGGGTCGCGCGCGCCCCTGTGTGTGTACATATGTGTGTGTCTGCATCTTGATTTCCTGCTAAGTGATGAAGGAGCCACGGTAGCCCTTACATTTGTTGGGAAATCTGTAATTTTCCTGAGGAATTAGGATTTCTTTAGAGCTCAAAGGGAAAATTGAACGTGGGACTCCAGTGGGAACCCTGGTCAGAAAGATGTGCTGGGAGGAAATGAAGTGTGGGCACCGCTCCACCGCTCTCAATGGCCAATAGAGTTTTAGTAGGAGCTGTACTCATCAAGGAAAGTTGCCTGAAGTAGATTAAAAGTGAGAGAAGAGAAAACCAAGGGGGGTAAATGTGCCCATACCTCTGACAGTTAAAGTGGCTTTAGACCAAAGAGTGCAGGATACCATACAGTCCCAAATATATGTCTTTGAGATAAAAGATTAAAACCTTAAACCACTCCAATTTAGCTCCAAGAGGGGTTGCCTGCATCTCCTATTATGTCAACAGCATCTCCTGCCTTGCCTTTCCCCCAAATGCCTTTTCTCTAATAAATTTTACTATCTTTGTGGAAGGAGAGTAGGGACACTTTTCATATATTACGAGGGGGGGGGGAGAAAAGAAAAGAAAAGAAAAAAGAGGACCCAGGTTGCTTCTCCCAAACATACTAAAGTCAAGAAGGCTGGTAATGACCAAAAAGACAATGGATTATAGCTCTGAATTCCAACTGTAGTAGCTTTCCTCCTTCCTTCATGCCTTTAGACAGTATTTAAGCACGTTGCTCTTAGCAACAAGAGTCCACAGAAATGCTTGTTTTTATGAAGGGGATTAAGCAGGTCTCTCTATCACTGCAAGTGTGTGTGTTCAGCTCTGCTTTGAGCACGGTGTTACATAGTCTAGTAGTTTTGCCCAGTGTGTTGAGTAGTACAAACTACTTATTTGGAACACTAAGGTAGCTCCCTATGTGTCTGTGAATGAGTGTTTCTGGGTTAAATGTGTTTGCAGACTGGGTGGAATAAAAAGATGACTTTGAGTCAGAAAACTGTCACCGATACTAAAGATTTAATTATTGCTGTTCTGGTCTTGCAGCACAGTATTTGCTGAATCATTAGATTGTTACATTCGCTGATCATTTCATATCTTCATATTAAAAATCTTGGCGACCATAGCAGAGTGTGTAGCAGCTTTCCAAAAGAGCTGACACACACATATTAAAAAAAAACCCCAAAAATTATTTTCCTAGACCAAGGCTTACTAAAAATGTCTTCACGAAACAGGATACCAGGCAAGGACTTTAACCTATCAGCTTGGTTTCTAGATACTCTGTTATTGTCTTCATTCACTTCAATTATTTTCCATATGGGAATCTTTTCGCGAATATCTGACCTGAGTTGAGGAAGGACTGTGTACACTGTGATCACTGGAGCTTTTCGGTTGGGGTTACATTGATGCAGTGGTGAGGGGTCTAGTTCCTTCTAGGGAGACATGTTGTGAGTGTCGTGGATGGTTGGTTGAGAGCTTATAAAATGCTCTTAAAAGGTTATTTTACAACTTTGATTCAAAATGCAAACCAGAATCTCACCCCTAGCCCTGTGCCTTGCAAGGTTGAAAGGGAAGGGCTTGGAGTTGGTGGAGCAGCTGCTCTGGGCGGCAGGCAGCCTGAGGCTAGTGAGGCTGCTAGTGTCTGCTGGGGAGGTGGCACCGAAAGCCCAGCTCCCACCCTCCGGCCCCCCCTCCCTCCAAGAGAGGCAGAGCCATCAGCCACAGGGCGCCGCCGCCTCGGTGCTATGGCAACCACTGAGCGGAGCCCGGCGGCCACCCCAGCCCCTCTTCCATGCTGGTGGCGGAATTCCATTGTCAAGATCCCCCGACCCCCCACCCTCTGCCCCGCTCCCACTAGGGCAGCGACTCTATCTGCAGCCGTGCTCCCGGGCCCACCCTCGCCCCGTTCCTGGGCACAGGGAACTCCTCTCCGGCGCCCAAGCAAACTTCCTGCTGCAGCCCCGGAGCGCTCCGGCTGACCCCTCCCCCGTCAGACCCCTCGCCCTGGGGTCTGCTCGGCCCCAGTCGCGATACTACCACACCCAGAAAAGGTCTCCAGCGGTCTGTTCCGTCCCCTGGACGCTCTTCCGTGGCTGTCACTTCTGGCCACTTGGGGCTAGGACCGAAGCGACCTCCGGGTCAGCCCAGGGTCAGCTCCACCCGCTGCGCCACGGCTGGTGCTCCATCCACTCCTGGCGTGTGCACCCCGGGCTTCTCCCCGGCGCCGGCAGCCGGCTGGCTGTTTGGGAGCAGGGTGCACGGTGCTGAGGGTCAAGGTCTGGCCACAGGTGCAGGGTGATGTCCTCCGGCAGGCAGGCTCTTCCCGGGGCCCCAGCCAGGCCTCTCCCAGGGGAGGGCCGCGCAGCCGCCGGAGGGATATTCGGCCTCGCATCTAGCTCGCTGTCTCCTGGGCTCTGCTACAGGGCGGGCTGCCCGGGAGCAGGGGGCGAGGGTGGGACCCTCAGATCTGCGGGGGCATGGCCCCCACCCCCCGGTTTCCCTACTGATCCAGGCTAGATCGCTTCTTCTTTCGTCCTTTCAGCACACCTGCTCTTCCCAGTGTCCTAGACCTCTGTCTCTAGGGAAGGGCGGGGAGGGGGTGGACAAAGTCTCCCAGCTAAGGGCTAGACACGTGGCTGGTCCCTGGCTCCCAGTCTAGATATCATGCTCCAAGCCACCACTTGTTTTCCACACTGTTCTTCAGAGTCTTTAATTGGATGGGAATTCAGGACTCGCCAAGCAAAGACCTCAGCCCCAACTTTCTCCTAGGCTCCTAGGCAGCTTCCCCAAGATAGCCCCTTGGGAGGACCTGAGCGTGGGACAGGCTGCTCCCTACGTTCTGGTATTTTGACACAGCGTTTCTGTTAGCTACCACGCCGCAGAGCGACATCCTTATAAAGTCTTCCTAGTGGAGGTCTTCTCGCCATAGACCCTGGCGGACATTCTTGGCCAGGCGCGCTGGCCATCACGGGCGCAGTCAGCGACCTGTGCGCTCAGGAAGGAGAAGTCAACCAGCTCAGCCAGTAAGACCCACTGCACCAGAGGCACAGGAGAGATGCCTATGGAAATCCTCCCAGCGGGCTAGGCAAGCTCTCTGCTCCCAGTTATAACAATGAGCAGCAGACATACCACAACACCCAATACCCTGGACTGAGAGTGAATTGACTGAGCTTAGACGCCGCCGTTCTTTGAAAGAGATTCCTCTTCCTTTGGGAGGAGAGGTGGGCGGGAGGGAGGAGTGGCCCTACATCTAGAAGCAGAAAATGGACTCCTGGGAGGTGAGGCTGCGGGAGTAATAGAGGCTACTGTCTGCACCAGATAAAGTCAGAACACCTGCTCGGCTGAGTGGTGACAAGCCAGGGAGGGGAATCTTTCCAAGAATCGCCAACACAAGGATGACACTTAAAAAAAAGGGCGGCGGTGGGGGGCTTCACATAAGTTCTTACTTATTTTTAAAGCTTCAAAGAATAACTGTGATGTGATCCATCAGAGGAGGCGCGATTATTTCAGAAAACGACTTTGAAAAACGATCTTTTCCTCCTCTAGAAATAGCACCCCATCTCCCTCCAGACACATGGAATTCGACACCTTTTCTGGCTATGTGAGGTTGTCTTTCAGTCTTTCAGTCGGAAGAAGGGTTTATAAGCCAGTAAACATTTCTTCAGACACGTTTTGCTGCTTGGTTTGATACAAGGGACCATTGCAGTGTGTTCATTCCTTGAATTCTCAGCTGACACTGTCTCAACATTTACTCAGCACGGGGAAAGTTAATGTGAGGAAAATACCATAGAGCAAACCTGGGGCCTTACCATTGATTATCACAGCCCTTTCAAGTCTGTTCACTACTAAATTCACAGTGTTGTTGATGATAAGGATGACACACTGCTTGGTGTCATTTAATTATCGTAATTTCGGATAAAGAACATCCTTTCCTGTATTGTGGTGCAATTCACCTCCAAGTGAATTGCAATTCTTTTCTCTTCCTCGGTCTACAATTTTACTGTGTTTCTCTATGTTGATTCTCTGGGAATGTCAGATGCCTGTTTTTACACATCAGTGTAAACATTCGATTTTAAAATCAGTCAGCTGCTACATACCTAACACCTGGGATTTGCAGGTGATTCTAGATTTTTCCCTGTGAAACGGAAGTGCTGCTTGCTTTGCATGGGCGTTACATTTGTGGTCCAGCAATCCAGTGCTGGAAGAGCTCCCAATGAATCTTAACCCCCGAATCTTAGCCTGAAAGGTAAGGTCCAAAGGCCCTGGAAGGGAAGAAAGTAAGTGCACATCATCATTATTGACT